GGAGCCGCCGGTGTGAACCGAGGTAGGGGAGTCACCGGTGTCTTCCTGCTCGACAGCACGTAGATAGGGAGAGGAAAGAGCTAGAGAGGGGACATTGTCGGGACATACAGGATGCGCGCGGGCGGAGAAATCTCGAGCACGAAGGAAGAGAGGGCAAAGAAACTGCTAGCGACAGTGATTTGAGGGCTTGGTTTAGGCCCCCTAGGAATGAGTGATGGGAGGGGGATTTGAGGGCCCTCTTAAATTTGTGTGCTCTAGTGTGGGCCCTGCTGGAGTGTGGTTTTTGCCTCTGAGCTCTTAAAAGTAGGATGATGACTCAAGTAGGGGCCAAGCTAGAGTTGCTTTGACAAGAATTACTTATCTTTGGGTCTCTCTGTTCATTTTATAATACAATACACATATTAACACCCACTACCTCGAACATGAAAGTTCCAAACGGTTTTGGTTTTCCTCATGGTTTTTCATGTAGAACCATTGGAAACTAGAAGTAACTCTTATCAAGCTAGTCCTTTCCACCAAATCCTAACTGTTTTATGGACTTTCATGTGGGTTTCTGGCTGTCAAGACAAAACCCATCTCTGGTAGTGTACTCTATAAATTTTATTCGGTTGTTATATATAAACATCTCAATCACTCTATATGTTTCCACCCATACGGCTATACCCATATCAATCACTATATATGTGCATGTTTGGTATTAATAACAAACAACAGTGCATTAGGGGGCCATACTTGGATAAGTGTCAAGTATGGATACGTGTCCTACATGTGGTGAGTCTAGCACTATGTGTCCAACATGTGATGAGTCTACTAGGTCGAAAAGACTATGCAACCAAGAAGCATAAATCAGTCTTGCTAGCGCTCGGACGTCTGATCCAGGCGCTAGCATCCGGATGCTGTCCGCACAGGGAGGGAGTGAGCGGCTAGCCCGTCGGGCTCGCAAGTGAGCGCACCAAAAATGGGCCCACGCTGCCAGTCGCTTCTCACGCGCATCCCATGTGCAACACCGATCAACTTTTGAGACATCCTGATGCAACGGTTGCAACATATAAAAAAGACAGATGAAACACTTGAACAAACGTTTGAAACCCTTGCGAAAACGTCTGAAAAATATTTGAAAACCATTGCAAACACATGCAACATCAAGATGAAACACTTGCAAACATATATTTGAAACACCTGAAAACACGTGAAAACATATGCTTGTAACATGCATGTATATGCAACATACAGATAAAACACTTGCCACATATGTCTGGAACAGATGAAACATTTGGAAACATACACTTGAAACATACGTGTATAGCTATTACAACATGTGCAACATCCCGATTTTACGTTTGCAACATCGATATACAAAACTTGCAACATACCTCTGAAATATCTGAAACACTTAAAACATATTCTTGCAACATACGCTAGTTAGGGAAATGTCAACGGCCCAGCGTACACATAGGCGCAGGCCTCCCCTTTCTGCCGACGTGCGAGGTTGATGGGGGCACAAGCGCAGGCGCTGCCTCACCTTTTGCGATGGGCGAGGTGGATGGATGCGCAGCACGGGATGGTGGCGCGGACCGCGGCGCAGCCAGGGATGGGGCGCAGGTGCGGCGTCGCCGCGCTGGAGAAGGCCACGACAGGCGGATGCGTTGCCTGCGGCGAGCGGACCTACGCAGCTGCGCAAGAAGACGAGCAACACTGTCTTTTTTTTTGTGGAGATACGGAAGCAGAGTGCGGGCACGCTCTGAAGCAGCGAGTAGAGTGCGGGTGCGGGGCGTCCGCAGGGACAGACGCCCACATCATATCATTACCGCAAAAAATCCCTAGGTATTTTATAGTTACTGCTTAACTGCAAAGTCCCCTCACCCGGTCTTATCACCTGGGCCAATTGGGCTGGCTCGGCTAGGTTTTCCCTAGCATAGTTGGTGGCGCTTTGGCCCAGTGTTTTTTAATTGGCCAATCATTCAATTTTTTTGTCAGAAATTTCAAAAGTGAATTCATTGAACATGTGGCAATATGTCAGAAGTGCACATTAGAGACGCAGGTAAATAGAGACATGGAGAAAACACGTTTGAAATTTTACATCGCTTATGTGAACACATCAATGATGCGTAAAAAGATATCACTGTTGTTAAAACATCAGTGAAGCGTATTAAACAAACATGCTTCTAATGACCCTCTATCAGAAGTATATAGCCAAAATGCGTCTCTAAGGAGATACATGTCACGGAGACACGTTTTGTCCACACACGGCTCTAATGAATATTATTTGATTTTCCACCCTAAATTAACTAGAAAACTGGGTATTGAACGCCCTTCTATTATTGAAACCAGAAAGATTTGGTCTTTTGGTTGGTTTTGAACGTGGTTTTATATTTTTTTTAAATAATAAAAAATCAGTTTAATGTCTAAAAATTCTTAACTAATTTATTTTAAATTAGAAAAAAATATGAAAGTAGTGCTAATTTTATTCTAAAAATGTTACCTATCTATTGGTGCTCTATTTGGAGTCATTTGAATTTCATTTGCTTTGAATAAATCATTAGCATAACTATGGGCAATAAAGCAATAGAATAAGCTCCACATGACTTGTTTTTGTGTAAGGCTCCACATGACTTTATGTACTGTGTAATCACAAAAAATATAGGTTATAAAAACTAAAAAGAGAAATGCATTTTTAGAAAAAAAATACAAGTTTTGTGTTTTTCCAATTTAAAATAATTTAGTTCTTAATTTTTACAGATTAAATTTAAAATATTTTTTTCTTATTTTAACAAAATAGAAGATAACCTTTGAAAGTTGAAAGAGGATCAAATTTATCTAGTTTTGACAGTTTGAGAGCATCGTGTACCTGATTTCGTAGTTCAACCGGAGCTTGTTTGCCGTTCTTTTCTTCCCTATATTACCTTCATCTATAATTAATTTTTTTATGGTAATGCTATGATCAGAGTGAAAAAAAGATGGCGGGAGTCCCTCCGAATGCTACGTGGCCTTACATTATCCACGTGTTACATCCACCACATTCGATACCTCCCTCTCAAGTAGCCACTGAGACTTATCCTTTCACTTTCCATCTCATCTCTCTCTCCCCTCCATGTCTCCGAGAAATCACAGAGTGCCACCGCTCCTCCTTCCTCCATCCAAGCTAACCACACCGCCTCCTCCCTCACCTTGCACAGCACCTCCCCGGCCTCTTCCTCAACCCTAGTACCGCCAGGATGCCTCGCCGCCGTGGGGCCGTCGCCGCTGCCCCTGTCGATGGCCACTAGGCGTATGTGCTAGGGCACCTCAGGTCGTCTCCGACTGAGCCAAGGGCACCCACAAGCGCGACCGGTGCTGGTGGTGCTCGCTCGCTGCCGGCTCCTACCCCGACGACCGAAATCGATAAGCCCTAGCCTTTCCCCCCTATGTTGCAAATGCTTATTTAAAGTGTTTTAGTTGTTTTAGATGTATGTTTCAAATGTTTTATATGGATGTTTCAAAAGTAGACCGGGATGTTGCATATCCAAGTGTTTCAGGCGCATGTTCCAAGCTTTCTGTTCTTAATGTTTCATTTGTTTTTTCAGAAGTATGTTGCAAGTGTGTTTATTTGGATGTTACAAGTATTTCATCTGGATGTTGCGTATATAATGGTTTCAAGTGTTTTTGAGGTGTTTCTGCAAGTATTTCAGACGCATGTTTCAAGTGTTTCGACTATCTTCAGGCATATGTTGCAAGTGTTGTATCTTCATATTTCAAAAGTAAAGCGGGTGTTGCACCTCCCTCCTCGCCTTCTGCTGTCTCGCCTCGGTGTTTCCTACCTCCTCCTGGTGCTAGCTGGGCATCCGAACCAGAGGCGCAGGTGACGTTCGGGTCGTTCGGAGAGGCGTGGGCCCCTGTATGGGGCGTGCGAAAAGGAGTGTAGGCGCGGGCGTCCGTCCAGACGTCCGTGCACCGGCACTACCAGGTCAGTCTCCCCAATCCCCAATCCGTTCCTCAATCTACAATCTCATGTCGTGAAGCAATGCTCCGGTGCTCGCTCAGTTTATGATTTTCTTGGCCTCCCAAGCCATGCGTGTTGCAGGCTTGCATTGCGAGCTAGATTAGAGCAGCTTAATTCTTGTTTTGCTGCATTGGGACATAGATCCACAGTTCTTGTTGGAGCCGTAGGAATCATAAATCTCCTTAATGTTCTGCTTCGTAGCTTTTCCGATTAAAGGCTCAGATAAGGAAGCATTGCGTGTGATTGTGATCTTGCTGTGAACTCTTAGAATGTTTAATTCTTTCTCCTACGTTTGAATTAATGTCTATTTTGGTGGATTGGTTTCTGGCTTCTTCAGTTTCGGGATTGTTTTCTGAATTGTGATGCTGAGATTCGCGTAGCTGTATTTTACTGATCTATTCATGTGCTAGCTTAATCATGTCTTGATTGAGTTCTGTAATGTTGGTCAATTCGGTGAGATTTGGTCAGAGATATCCTTTTGACTTTTTGTACTTATATATTTGCCTCATCGGTGCTAGGGAAAATCATCACATTAAGTATATTTTGAACCTGTGCTTACACCTGCTGATCCGAAATATATACCGCAGCGATCCTATTCCAAATCAGGGAGCAGCTTATTTCTTGGTTTCTGATAAATTCTACTGCTAAATCAAGGTTTCCCATAGCTGAGGTTTTGCATAAAGACTTGTACATATTCTTAATACGTATTGAAATTATCAATATTTTTTGTAATTCTGAAGAACAAAAACCATACTGTCATTTAGGACCAGTAATCACAACTTAGATCTCTCGTAGTGTAACTGGCAACTTCAGTACTTCGTGCCTGATCAGTCCTGACATGTTTTGCTTATGTTGGTGGCAACTAGAAAACTCAGACTGGTATAATTCAGCTTTTCATATTTACAAACAAAAAAAATCATGAATTGTCTAATAATGCTCTTCACTGTCGTTATTGCAAGAACACAGAAAGTTGGATCAGAGTCTCAAAGAAGAAGTGTAGTGGATATTCCAAGTTTCCAACATGGCGTTTTTCAAACAAGTCATCTTTACCACGGCCGTTCTTGCCATTGTGCTCTCCTCACCAGCAATTGCTCACAAGGCCAAGAGTCCTGCTCCTCCAGTGCACCATGTTGACCTCTCCAACCTCCTCACTGCATACAGCACATTCCACACCTTCTTGGGCTACCTGCAAAAGACCAACGTCATCCAAACCTTCCAGAAGCAGGCGAACAACACCGAACTTGGCATCACCATGTTTGTCCCCAAGGACTCAGCCTTCGCCGCACTGAAGAACACCACGCTGGCCATGCTCACCAAGGACCAGCTCAGGTCCCTGCTCCTGTACCACGCACTCCCCAAATTCTACGACCTGCATGGGCTCGCCATGCTGGGCAGAAGAAACCCGGTGGCCACCTTTGCCGGCTCCAGGTACACGCTCAAGCTCACCGAACACTACGGCAACATCCTGGTGAGGTCGGCGTGTTCTACCGCGAAGATCGGCAGCAGCATTGTAGCGACGGCTCCGGTGGGCGTGTACTTGGTCAACAAGGTTCTCCTGCCAAAGCAAATCTTCAAGAGCCAACCCGGCCAAGTGAAGAATTCATATCCTCTTTTGTTCTCATAAATCAGGTCAGACCAAACCACAGCAAATTCTTGGGGATGCCCAAAGATATATGAACATGTCTGAATTTTCAAACAAATTATTCATCTTGACAGTTGAGTTACACAATGATGGCTTTAGGTAATGAAAGAACAAGCGTCAAGCAGTGCACACTACCTATATATGTTGGTAGCAGCAGCAGTGCAGCACTGTAACTCGATAGATGTAAAAACTTCAAAATTTAGTACTCCACCAGTCTGTATATATACTAGTAGGAGCAAGTAGTATTCCGCGCGCGTGAGCTTTATGCAGCTTTGGCGAGCTCCCTGTCGACGGCGACCTTGACGAAGCTGCCCTCCTCGACCACCATCTGCACGGGGAGGAAGCCCAGACCGTTGGCCACGGCGAACAGCACCTCCTTCATCTCCGCCCGGAACTCGTGCCGGTCCACCTTGCCGCTGCCGTCCCTGTCGAACCGCGCGAAGAGTCCTTGGTACAGCGCTCTGAGCTCCTCGGGCGCCACGGCGGCGTAGTCCACGCCGAAGTGCTTCTCCAGCACTCGTAGGCTCATGAGCTCCACGGCCATCTCGGCGTAGGTGAGCAGGCCGTCGTGGTCGGCGTCCAGCGCGGCGAACCGGCCGTCCACCGAGGAATTGAAGGCGCCCTCGTCCTCCACGAAGCTCCGGACAGTGCTCCCGTCCAGGATCTCCACGCTCATGTCAGGGATCAGCTATGGCTGGGCCGTCACCTGGGCCTGGGCTTTACTATGGCTGGGCCGTCGCTTAGGCCTAAAACTTGAGCCCAGTTCAGACTCTGTCTGGATGGAAGCCTACAAAGGCAAGAGAGCAGGAGTGGACAAGGCATCAAACATCACAGAACTAATTAACCAACCAGTTATCTCCCTTTCTAGAATTCTCCTCTCTTACTGTTCCTCTTCTTCCTCTCGATACCCTAAGATTCTACTACTTATTCCTCTGATTCCCTCCTATTCTCTGCAATTCAGTACCAGGTTGCTAACAGCTCATATTGGTGAGCCCTGTGCGTGTGTTCTTGGAACCTATTCGTGACTCGTGAGAGAGGAAGTCTGAGGTTGGTCTGGCTTGATGACATGCGAAGGTGAGGTGGGCCGTCTTTGTAGGCCGAGAGGTCAGGAATCAGTGGAAGCTGGAGGGTGCGTTTGGGCCGATGGTTTTTGCTGGCAGGTTTGGGTTGGGTTGGGTCAGGCTGACGGGTTTTGATGCGGGTAAGAAGATGCTGTGGGCGCGACGGTCCGTGCAGGCTGCAGCCAGTGGAGAAAACGTGTCACGGGTCGGTGCCAATTGGGCTATCCAAAAGCCACCCACGGCTTTCGAAGTGGAAGACGGCTGACTGCTGCTTACCGTGGACGACCGAACGGACGCCGACGGCGTTTGCTCTTTGCGATGGTAGGTTTATATAGGCAGACTTTGCTATGGCCAAATAATAATCATAGTCGATCTCAAAGTAAAAAAGAAACGTCATCTAGCATCAGTAGTTACTGTTAATTTCATCCGGAAGTGTCTTACCCTTGGGTTAAGCTTCTAGTAAGACCTTTCGCCGAACAACTGTCACAGAGAGCAAGTGGTATGGTAGTTCATCCTATTAATACTCGCATCATCAGTACCATAGTTAGTTCCCCCCCCTCCACACCCACCCAACCAACAAGGAGTCTGTTCATATAAGGCGCGCAAAAACAGTAAGAATAGAGAATCTCGTCGAGAGACGTGACGAATAATAACGGTAGAGAGAGTTAGGACAAAAGGATAGTAGATGTGTTTTTTGATGATTGAAAGTTGAATTTCTTAATCGGTCTGATCCTCTCGTTTATATAGAGGGGTAGTCTTATATCCTAGTAGGAAACATGTCTAGTACGCAATCTCTAAGTTTTCAACGTTGAATATATATCCAAAACCGATTTGAAAACAAATCGGTCTCAGAATAGGCAGGACGGTTTTTCACTGGATCGGGCTCTCTGTCCATGCCACGTTATAGGGAAACTGGCTTGGACGATTTGGGCAGGGTGAAGCCCAGATTTGCCCTTTCTTCGCTTGGGCTTTGATTTTTGTGGCGCCAAATATTTTCTTCTATCTCTTTGACGCCAGTAACTTATTGCTGGAGTCCAATCTCTCTATTGGCACCATTTTTATTGTCAACACCTAGCTATCTTCAAGGTTGAAGGAAATAAATAATTATCACAGGAATCAAAAGTAAGTTTCGTGTTGTTCACCAATTCAGTGCTAGAACACTGGTCTACTCAACATTTGAAATTCTAACAAGCTACCCTTAATTCAATATACAATGTTAGCAAACCAGTGGCACCTTTGAGAATTGTCTCAATTTTTTATCAACCATAATGGAAACCTGAACACAGAAAAATGGAGAGAATAGAGCTGCTGCAGTATCCCACTTCATCTCTGGCATCAGTCAACCTTGGAACTATTTATATTTGGAATTTGCATCTTTTTTTATGTAACAAAAGGTGCTGGGCCCATACAAGCTATATAAATACTCCCTTCATCCTGAAATATAAGGAATCCTGAGTTCAAAATTTGTACCAAAATATAAGATATTTTAGGCCGTCAACCATCTCTCTCCTCAGTCTTTTTTCTTAGGAAATATGGAGACTGTTTAAACTTGATGTCACCCAAAATAGGAGACAATAACTAAGAAAAGTGACAACTGAACTACTCCATCATAATTAGTGAGGGGCAAGATGGTATTTTGCCAAACTCCTTATTTTGTTTGAAAATCACTTAGATATCTTGTATTTCAAGATGGAGGGAATATTATAAAAAAGAGTAAGGTTACATAGAAAATAAAGCAATTTGTATCTTCATTCTCAAGTGCTGTTTTTTGATACTGTTGAGTTCTTATATGGCAAGAGTTCTTCATGGGCACCCCTAAAAACAAGCTTCTTTTTCTGAACAACCAGGATTCATGCCACAGTCTAGAGCCTATATACACATAGGACATGTTTGGATTACATCATTGATCCGTGTCCTAGGCGTCTAAAATCGAACACCTATGATCATTGAAAGCAGCACCAAGCTACATAGGGTGCAACAAACAGCCCCGTAACAAGGAAGTTACTTTCCAAATGGTTATACTAGGATCTGAATAAACTAGCTTGCTTTGCCTCTTATTGTTACATGGTCAACGAGGCAGGGTTGTTGATGACAAAATTTCTGTTTCCATACTATATCGCCTAGTGGTAATGTTGTCCTCCACATTTTCCATTTTTATAACCTCTACATTTTCTCGAAAACTTTTTTTTGAACTTTGGATCCCCAGAAGTCTCATCTCCACATGCCGCATTGTTGGCCTATCATCGTCCTTCATTTGCAAACACAATGCTGCTATTGCTGCCACTTGCATCACTTCATCATGTTTCCCTTCCTCGATGACCTGCGGATCTAGTATCTCACTTAGCCTTTCTTTAGACAATAACAACATAAAGTATGCTACTAGACTATCAAGTGATATGCCAGCAGTTGGCTTCTTCCGTGTAAGTAGTTCCACAAGGATGACACCATAACTGTAGACATCACTTTTTTCTGTCAACCGCTTTGTGTAGAAATACTTAGGATCAAGATACCCATAAGTTCCTTGTACAGCTGTTGTCACTCCTGTTTGATCAATACCTAAGCCACTAGATGCACCAAAGTCTGACACTTTCGCCGTTAGATGACCATCGAGCAATATGTTGCTTGTCTTGATGTCCCTATGAACTATTGATATCGAAGCTTCAGAGTGAAGGTAGGCCAAAGAACTAGCAATTTCAAAAGCAATTCTTATACGGTCTTTCCATGGAATAGATAGGGGCCTATCAACATGAAGATGGGCATATAGTGTTCCATTTTGAATGAACTCATAAACTAGTAGTGGAACTTCAGTCTCAAGGCAACATCCAAAAAGTTTGACAACATTTCGGTGGTTGATTTGAGAAAGAATAGCAACCTCATTTATGAAACCATCAGTTTCCCTTTGGATCACAAGTTTTGACCTTTTAATTGCAACAACATGTTGATCTGAGAGTATGCCTTTATATACTGCCCCATGCCCTCCCCCTCCTAAGATGCGAGCTTTGTCAAACCTGTTTGTAGCCTCCTCAAGCTCCTCCAAACTAAAAATCATCCTTTCGGCAATATCTTTATCTACTAACTGTTGGAGCAACAACCCTCGGTTTTGTTTGAAAAAATGTTCCCTCATTTTCTTGGCCTTAAGTTTTTTGGTTGCAAAGATGATTGCGAAAACCACAATCAAAAGGCACATACCAATACCAACTCCGACAGCAAATATTATCCCTGTAGATATGCAGCAAAATAATTCAATATGCTGGCTTTGTAGAACAAATAAGGTGAAATATTAATTATTCTGCCAGAATCGCTGAATTAGTATGAGGGTTCAACAAGAATCAATTTGAATAAAAATAAGAATGTAGAATAACTTTGCTAGAAGGAGGTAGCAGGTGTTGAATTCAACGACATATAATTATATCATGTTTATTCTTAAAAAAAAACTATATCATGTTTAATTAAATCTCTTGTATCAATGAAGAATTATGAGTGTTGTAGTAGCCTTGTCTCTTTTTTTGAAAAATGTAACACCCTAAAAATTTCTCTTTTTGAAATAGGGTTAAAAAGATTTAATTTTGTATTTTTGTGCTCATAAAAACATAGGAAAAATAATAATTTTCATTAAATTAAAATTTATCATAGGAATTTAGCAACATTCTTGTGCATTCATGCTGGTGCATTTGATTTATTGAGGTGAGTGGTTTTGACCAAAATATAAAATGATTCAAATGGATTTGAAAATAGATTTGAAAAACATTTGAAATAAAAGAAAAAGAGAAAGCTCTCTCTCTCTCTCTCTCTCTCTCTCTCTTCCTTTCATGCTTTTGGCCCGAGTGGCCCTCGGTCTCCCTATTTTCCTCTTCCGCGGCCCACTCCGCTCTCCCTCTCCCACGGCCCATTCCAGCAGGCGGCCCAGCACCGCGTCGCCCA